AATTCCTCTATGAAAATATACTGCGATATCTCGAATATCATGCCAACTGAATCATGAGGCGGCCTGTGTTCAGGACATTCAGCTGTAGGAGAGAGAGAGAGATTCTATAGAGTCTCGCGTGAAAACCAAATTGATTTGCAAATGAGTGTATTTCTCGGAAACAGTGCAATATGGATTCAAGTAGATCAGAAGGTTGGCGGAAACTCGGGGACTGCGCCTACCTGATGAGCCCCAAGAAGGGCAAAACCGGTCGTGGGCTGTCGAAGAGTTTTCAGCAACCTTGTGAGTAGTTTCCTTTATGGAACAGATTTTCTTCAGCTGAATAGCCTGTTGGCGACACTGTACGACCACCCCAATTCGTCATCATCATGGCTAGTGTGGTAAGGAAGCCACCTCGTAAAAACACTGACAATCTTCATATGGAAAACTACTCACAAGGTTTCCGAAAACTCTTCGACAGCCCACTAACAATTTCGCCCTTCCTGGGGCTCATCAGATAGACGCAGTTCCCGAGTTCCTGTCATTCCTATGTACTGCTTGAACTCAAATTGAGTAGACCTCGATAAGTACACCCATTTGCATATCATTTTGTTTTCCACTAAAGACCCAACTGAATCTCTCGTTTATGATATTCCCCAACTGAATGTGCTGCACAAAGGCCGCCTCATATTTAAGTTATTTGGGATACTGCAGTGTATCTCCATAAAGGATTCAAATAGGTTGACGGAAACCCGAGGACTGTGCCTACCTAATGAGCTCCAAGAAGGGCGAAACCGGTTGTGGGTTGTCGAAGAGTTTTCAGTAACCCTGCGAGCAGTCTAGACTAACCTTGAAGCTGTTCATCAACCGATTATCTTTAAACTGGGGAATTAAATGTGCAAATTTATGCTACGCTCCTGACATCCCTTTCCACCTTTCACTGTGCTGATTTTCGGAAGTGATGATGGGCTAATGCAGCATGTTTTCCAATAGTTTGGAAGGTGATGATAATCCATCACGACCTTTTCTATCAACCTAGACCGTCTTAGATATATTTGTCTGGTAAATTCAAAAGATATTTGTCAACATAGACATGCGGGTATGTTGACCTAGTTGCCCAGGCTTTTCTCATCGTAGCCCGGATTGGAGCCACTCGCTACTTCCGTGGCGTTTCGTCCTGATTCATCTGGCATCGGTCACCATTTCAAGGTATCCACATTGTCTACGGTTTTTATTTCTGTTCAACAGCCGCACAGTCAGCGAACCATGCTCAGTAGAATCCAGCTCTCAGTCGTGTGCGAGGCCACGCTGTACATCTGTTCCCCACGAGTATCAAACTACTGCCACCGCCTATTCGCCGAGTTGCATCGCGGATACTCCACTAGATCTTTCCATCCAGCGCGACTTGGAGGCTATGAAATCGGAGGAGGAACAACGATCTCCGTTTTGGCCCCCGATTCTACAGCACATAACAGGGTATAAAGAAATGGATCTAATTCCGCTCGCAGTTCGTTATCACGCGATTGCCTTGCGGTTGTTGGCTGAGGTCGCTCGCGGTGGACGCCTCGCTGCTGAGAAGGAAGCAACTTCGGGCGGTGGTGGCAAAGGTAATCTGACCTCGTCTACGCCTAATCCTCCTGGAGAAACTAGTTCGATGGTGCCAGGGGATGAAGATGAGGTTGATGCTGATTCCGCCAATCAAGTTCAACAGCGGTGTATTTCTCCTGGCGGACACTATCTTCGACGGCAAGCTGTCACCAGATACTGCACGGAGTTTGTATTATCTCTCTTTAAATGTCTGCCATTTTGTTTGGTATATGTCACTGCTTCGTGAAATTGTCAATGCGAAAAGATATTATTTGTGCACTCATCTGGGACAGTCACGTTAAGTGCCAAATATAATGTTTAATATAAGTCTGTTGCTTGGAGAATGACATCTGGGATTCCCAGATTAAATAATGATGGCCCGCAAAAAGGGGCCATCACGGGGAAGGCAACATTTGGCCTCTTTACCTCCAGTTGGGGAACTGTTTATTTTATTATACCAGTGTGTCGGATCGTCACAAAGTTAGGCCCTTGTTTGTACCTTACATTGCTCCTCAGGTTAAATTTCCGAGGCCCCTTGAATCGAGTACACCTATCAAACTAAATTACCCTGACGGTTCCGAGAATGTTTGGTTGTTTATTTGGCAACCTGATTGACACGTGTTCTTATCACTCCCTTTGGTCTCCTCTTTTATATATCAATGGTTTCATTACCCAAATCTTATATATTAGCAACAGCCAACTATCAAATTGTGTGTCAAGAAACAGTGATCCACGTACGACTGATCCTTTGAGGCTACAGGCTATTCCAAAATACCATTTTTGAGGAAGGAATGACTGCGAGACGAATGACCTGCCCAAATTAGCCCTGTGATAGAAGCACTCTAGAAAATAATATGCGACCCTTTAAAGTAATCTGGGGACCACAAACACCGAAATGTACAGTGCCCCCCTTAAATTCAGCGGTATGGGCTGTTTATTACCTTTTGACACTTCGTTTCTGCCGGCGTTCTAGGGAAGTTGAACTCATTTTCAGACCTCTGCTCTACTCCATCTATTCCTCCCTACATAGGTCGTTATCAGAGACACCTAACTGTTCGCGTACTTTGTGAGTGATCGAAAATGGTTCTGTTTTGGTCGGTTATTTCCTTTCTACATAACTGTATGGAAGTATGGGGTTCGTCCATTTTTCCTCCTTTTTGGACAATTAATACGTCGTCTCCAGTGCTTGTACATAGTACCATGTCTCTGTCACACGTGGGCAATCAGCTACATTGCCGATGTTTGTAATTCTTGCTGAGGAGTTTGTTCGGCGCGCCCCTGGTACTCGTTGATTACAGTCACTCCTAGGATTAATAAAGAGATACCAGTAGAATTCTTTAGTTTAACCATCCGTCCATTCGACTGTTTTCCGCAACAGCTTTCTACATCAACTATATTTCCAATATTGTTATTGCTGTCTGTTTCTCCCTGTTTCAGCGATTTCCTCAATGTTGCGGATGCCTACCCTCAACTCGCGTTCGAAAACTTCGTACCTCATTTTCCCTCCGTCCAATGTCCAGAGACTTGCACGTGTTTTGTGTGCCTCAATCTGGTTCGTCAGACCTGACCTGCGGTTCGAATTTTCTCGGTGGATCGATTGTGATTTGTGAATCCATGACGCAAGTCGCTTCGCCCGTATCGCTATGATCCATCACCAAATCAGGCTGTTAAGGTCTTAGTCTCCGTACTTTGGGTAGTATAGAGAAACATCATTCTCACTTCCATTCCGTTTTAGTCCATGTTCTTACTCGATCGTGCTGTTCCTAGTTATCGTCGAAATCATCGATTTTCACCATCGCCTACATCGTGGCTATGTTTGTTAGGAAACTTCAGAGGGAATGCTTGTTTCCTCAAACTTCCGAGCTTTCATATTCGGTTCCTTTTCCCACTCCTATGTTATTACTACCATTCATGATCCACAGCGATTTATCTTCTCATTTCAGCCTTTCTTTTTTCCTCCTTCGCACAACACAACACAACCTAACCTAAACAAAACTGAATCAAAACTTCCGCTTCGCTCTTTTATCCCTTTCCCATACCTTACTACCCAAAATTAACCCCCCATATGGTAGGTCTGTCAGCAGACGAGTGCGCACTCATTCAGCTTTCTAACTTCGACCGCTTGCGGTTGCTCAATTAACGTATCTGTGTATGTGTGTTCCATATTTTTAAATGCATCAGTCCCATGTCTCTAGGTAGCGGGTATACATGTGCTATTTAAGTGTATTTCGTTTCTTTTTCTTTAGAGTTCAGTGTCCATGTGGTTTTGGGACGGGGTTCGGCCCCGTGCTTCTCAGTCATTCTTTCGTCACTCGGTAAACCCTAACGCTCACATCATTGCTCGTCACATAGAACGACATTGGTCTCATCTTTGAGGGCGAACAGAGCGCATATGGTAAAACGGCCACTATCCTGCCGTCCTTTAGCATTCGGTTCGCACTCTCAAATGGGAGTCATTGGTCGGAATGTGTAGTATCTGGACGTGCCGTTTCTGAGAATGATGGGAGACTCACTGCAGTTCGCTTCCTGGTATTTGACGGCCGTTGTCTTAGAACCTCAGTTGATGTAGGGTTACACTGTAAGTAGCTTCTGAGTGAAAAAGTTCAACAACTCAAACCGTGGTTGCTTTACCGTGTGCTACGCACGTCGAAGCTAGTGTTGTTCTCCCTGGCTCCTTTAGAATGACGTAAACTTTGCTGGAGAATGCGATATCTGGCTGACTGGTATGCGGGAAATCAGTGGAAGCTTGGTGTCGTGAATGTGACCCGCATTCTGCGACAGAATCCCGGATACTGTCTGCGGCTGCACAGAGGTGCAAGACGTGATCATTGACTACTGCCTACTTCTATCCAGTTGATGCGCATGTTTGGAGATGCAGACCCTGGGATGCTTGTGCTAGACCAGTCCAAAATTCCTTCTTCACAGTCTCCCATTTTTGAACTTTTGGAAAAATAAACTGTGGTTGTATGGCAGCGAGACGTTTGCATTAACACTAATTTCCTTCTTGTGTTGTCAGGCTTATTTAGTGTGTGGGTTATCTGAAATTTTGTTGGTGGGTTATGTCACGTTCAGGGGGGGACTTTCGACTTGTACTATGCTTTTCGGCTCGAAATGGCTCGGTTGAAACGAATTCACTGACCAGAAGGTTCGTGCTTCTAACCGAACCTCTGCATCTCGGATGCTCATGCCTAGATATTCATTATCGGATAATTAGCGCCGGGAACGTTAGATTCAGTTTTGTTGGAGACACCCGATCCTGCTAAGTCGAATCCGTCGAGTTTGTATATTTTCCACTTTCAGTAAGTGATAACTGATCACAGATGTTTTACATTAATCGCCATCAGTTGTAGTTAGGCGCGTATTACTCACGCATTTGGTGATAAGTATATAACTAACGCCAAAAACTTATCTGGCAATATTTTGAGCATGTTTAATCCCCAATCTGCGCTGCGTTATCTTAATTTCCTTAATTTCTACTTTCAGTCCAAATGTCATTGGCATTGATTTTATTCTGCGGCGTAGTTACTGGTAACTGGGTCGAACAATAGGTCTCCTGTGTGCCAACATTGTGGCCGCAGGTGATCATTTTTAGTACAAGTGTCTGTTGCAACGTGTTCAAACACGTTAGGGGTTGTGCACTGAACTAAGGGTTTCTGGAGCCCTCAGCCTGGAGTTGAAGTAGGTCAGCTCGTTCAAGAAAACGTGCAGATCGTCCATGTATGTTGATCGCACTGTTAGCCCTGATTTTGGCTTGAACTGCAAGTATTCCGAAATCCCGTCCATTGAGCGACTTCTATCTGCTCTGTTTCAGCGACTGTCCTCAAATAATACACAGGCTATCCGGCTGTCTATACAAGTAAATGACACTAGGAAACATAACAGGGTAGTTAGGTCTATATCCTGATTATTTTGATGGTTCCTCATAAAGCTACACGAAGAGGTCTAGACAGGCAATCATGATGGCCGTTGATTTGTTCGCTGACCTGGGCAATTTGGTTGCNGTTGATTTTATTCTGCGGCGTAGTTACTGGTAACTGGGTTGAACAATAGGTCTCCTGTTTGCCAACGGGAACCTGACTTACATCATGGCCGCAAGTAATTTTTAGTACAAGTGTCTGTTGCGACGTGTTCAAACACGTTAGGGGTTGTGCACTGAACTATGGGTTTCTGGAGCCCTCAGCCTGGAGTTGAAGTAGGTCAGCTCGTTCAAGAAAACGTGCAGATCGTCCATGTATGTTGATCGCACTGTTAGCCCTGATTTTGGCTTGAACTGCAAGTATTCCGAAATCCCGTCCGTTGAGCGACTTCTATCTGCTATGTTTCAGCGACTGTCCCCAAATCTGTGGATTTAATTTTTTGGGGGTCTTCGCGTCGCTTGCGAAGGTTCAGCAACATCCATTTCCGGGTCCCAAACTTTCTGATGGATGCTGGTCGCTGGCATGCCTACTAGGTTTGATTCTAGTGATTGGGACGGTTTCGCATTGCTACGCTGAAACTCCCACTGATGATTCATGTAATATGTAATTGTAATTTGGGGGGGGGGCGGTGTAATTTGTGGATTATATCTGATATATCTCACTGTGCAGGATCTTTCGCCCAGTATGTGGGTCGATGGTTCCGGGTTGAGCGACCCACACAGTGGACAGCTCTGCGAATAGTGTGTTTATCCCGCTCTGTCTGATGGCAAAGGGAACCAGACTACAAGGAAGTAGGTGCACAACAGTGTCTAAGTGTATGACACTTATTTTGAATAATACACAGGCGATCCGGTTGCCTATAAAAGTAAATGACACTAGGAAACATAACAGGGTAATTAGGTCTATATCCTAATGATTTTGATGGTTCCCCATAAAGCTAGACGAAGAGGTCTAGACAGGCAATCATGATGGCCGTTGATTTGTTCGCTGACCTGGGCAATTTGGTTGCGGACGTTTCATCACTAGCGAAGTGACGTCACCATGCATTGAGATTGGAAGTCAGTCAGCTATTGGCATGGCACTGAAAGAAGTCCAACACAAAGAAAGTAATTGAGGTTTCGGTTTGCTTTTCGATTATTACCTAAGACCAATGCTTCTGTAGCAACATATTTATATCTATATACATCGGTGTGCCTTTCTGATATGTCACGCCACATTCAAACTTGGTGCAAATTCAAAGGCATCCCCTACCTACAAAGTTAGGGTACAAAGACTCCATGACCCAAAGCATAGCTTCCCCATTTCCACAGGACATATCAAAGGTTGTTGTTTAGTTCAGCCAGTCTTTTCCAAAACGTCATTTTCCCTCCAACTTTCCTAATAGAACAAGCTGGACGACGGACTGTGATGTCGAGTCCGACATCGTGGTTTCCGGAAATCCTTAGTAGCTCCCGGGCATTTAGTCAACACAAAAATTGAACACGAACAGGTGAGTATCTTTGTTAGACACCACTGAGTTAGCAGTAGTCTGTTGGAATCAGTATTTCTGATATGTCACGCCACCTTCAAACTTGGTGCAAATTCAAAGGCATCCCCTACCTACAAAGTTAGGGTACAAAGACTCCATGACCCAAAGCATAGCTTCACCATTTTCACAGGACATATCAAAGGTTGTTGTTTAGTCCAGCCAGTCTTTTCCAAAACGTCATTTTCCCTCCAACTTTCCTAATAGAACAAGCTGGACGACAGACTGTAATGTCGAGTCCGACATCGTGGTTTCCGGAAATCCTTAGTAGCTCCCGGGCATTTAGTCAACACAAAAATTGAACACGAACAGGTGAGTATCTTTGTTAGACACCACTGAGTTAGCAGTAGTCTGTTGAAATCAGTATCCCAGTGTCTCTGAGTCTGTCGACGATTCCGCTTCCGCTGTTTCACTGAACAGTAGCAGCTGACCAATCCGCTGCCCTATGATGTAAGTGCTCCATGACTTTGGAGCCGAATAGACCATTGCTGTTGATAAGTTCAGCTACCGGAACCTTTAGGTATTTGTCGCACGGCTCAACTGGGCCTTTTGTTGTGTATCCGCAGTTTTTCACTCCCCATTTCTTCTGACTTTGAATCCACTACATTTCTGGGTCGGCATATGCAATCGTTTCCATCCGTCGGTTTGTTGTTATACTATTATGCTGTTATACTACTACCTTCCCGGGGACATGAGTTTCACCAGTTTTTTACAAGTCATTTTCCCTGAAGGAACAAGCCCTCGATTGCGCTGAATCAACTTATCGCGCGCAATTGTTGGTCGGTTACGTCGATCGCAACTGCTTGTAACAGTTCAATTCCCAGCTCCACGAAGTGGAAGTGCTCGGTTACCGTCGACCATCTCGGGTGTCTACGCAGAACGACTTATCGCACGACAAATGGTAAGTTAATCTGTTCTGAACTAATGTCACGTGATATAATCCATGCACAAAACACAAGATTGATGGTTCTTACGTGAAAGTCGGTCACGTGGCAGTAAGCGAGCTACCGTAGCGAGCAAGCACCAGCTATTTTCATTCTGGTTGTTTATGACATTTTTTTATTAGTCTTCCTTGATGGCTGTTGTTCAATGCCCGTAGTCAGCTGGTTTGTTTTGGTGGGATTCTAACTCTGAAGTAGATGTAAGGCAGGATCCGCCTGCCACACATGAGTAGTGGGTACAATTCGAATAGATGCATCATCAATCAGATTGTCAGCTGTCATGCACCATTTTTGCATAAACGATCTGTCTTTAGTGAAACTAGCTCAGTCACACTCCAAATAGGAGCTGACTTATAGGGACCGAGTGACATACCTTTGTTAGAAGGTCCATCGTTTTACTTAAGCATTGTGATACACAGCTGCTAAAACAACTCATTCTCTTACTCCAAGTGAGTCGTCACCGCTTTCTCCATCTCTGAGCAGACTTAAGGATTTGAGTGCCGAAATTGTTATCAGTCTCAACTATTGGAAACAGACAAATTGGTCCTATAGCTAGTTCGCGAACCGCACCAACACAAACCTAAAATATGTATAAGTATATATCATCATCATCATCGACAGCACGACATCAGTGTTCAACACTGATGCTTCACTGCCGTAAAACCATGATTTATTTGAAAGCCTTATTGTAAAGAAAAGAGTAAAGGTGGACGGGGAAGGGACTTAGTGAGAGCTCTAGATCTATTTGATATATATGAGTGTATATCAAATAAATCTAGAGCAGTTTTGCGAGTGACGGGGAAATTTTCAAGTGCGAAG